TATTAAATTGAATAAATGTGTAACAAGTTTGTAACAAACATGTCTTTCAATCCCTGTCTTGAACACACCGTATCATGTTTCATTTGTACTGATAAAATATCTTGTGATGTTCATGTTTGATAGAGTAAATATCGCACTCCATCTTTTGCCGTTCATGATCTGTAAACAATTCATGGATATTATCAAATATTGTGTGTATTACCAAAGACATATATATAACAATATTTACGTCTCTGCTAGTACTTCTTTTAATTTTACTTGTGTTACAAAAGCGGCACAAAATCATCTAAAATCTGACTGATTGGGTGAGTCTAATATTACATCTGAGGGAGATAAAGCTCATAAATATGGTTCAACCCTACAAATAGACCGGCTGATCAGGTTAGTCCAATGTTCTACTAAGGCAGATAAGGTTTTGCAGAAATACAGGTAAACCGTGGGGGTGACCTTAGGACACATTCAGCCAGCTTGGCTGCTTGTTTGACAAGAAGCTAAAGTTATCAAAGCATGGTTAGCTTTACAGTTCTTTTGTGTTAATGTATTGGTCCTGTCGATTTATTCTGTGACTATACTGAAATTGACAGAACACGTTGGAGAGTTTCTTCATTCTGCCGGAAAGAATAGTCATATTCATATTCATATAAAGCATTAGTGACCCTAACATTGTGACGGGAACTGTGTACTGTAGTTAGGTAGGAACACTACAGTAAGTAGGTCAGAGGAAACCATCCTCTTCGGGGAAGAGTGTGGGAAGCACAATTTCAGCAAGCACAGCATCGTTACATTATATACTCACAAAATACATGCATTGTTGTATTTTTCACATACTAGTTAAGAAAGTATCGAAGTGAATGCTTTCTCTGCGTATAAGTTGGCGAACCACAAAATGGTTTCGCTATGGTATGAATGAAAATGCTAGGGGTCGCTGACAAAAACATTTGCATATGAATGAAATGTGAATGAATGACATCCACATAAGGAGATATCAGCTAACATATAAGGACCGAAAGACTATATATAGTCATAGGTGGCGTATGTATCGCTAGTGCAGTTCCATGTTAAGCAAATTTCGTAGTAACTTGCGTTACCTAACGCATGTGTCAAAAACACTTCTAACTCCCATACTTTATAAATAATCCCCTTCACTATCTTTTATCTTTACTTCTCTTTGCCTAGCACCCACTATCACATGACATGATCTTCAAATAGATGAAGGTGGTCATTACTATGTAGATGTAGATGGTCGGCTAAAATTCGGTGCAACGAATCACTGAAACGGACCGAAACGGAACCGAAACGAAAGGTATACGATTATTCCAAGCGAATGTAATACATTTGAATACAGAAAACACTTTTGAATAATGTGTGTGACCGTTTAAAATGAACAGAACCAAAACTGAACCGAATAGAAATGTATTTAAGGGTATTAAATATACATTTCATCACTCTGTGTGACGTAAACGGAACAGAAACGTAACAAAAAAGAAATATCTGAAGTTATTTAACGCAAAGTAAACACATGTGAATAGTGTGTTTGCCCTTTTATAACCAACAGAAACAAATATTTGCAGTTATTTTAAAGGGTATCAAATATATTTGAATACGGTGTGAGACCGAAACGGCACCAAAAACGTAACCAAGAAGAAATACATTATGTTATTTAAAGCGTATTAAAACATTTTTGAATTATGCATATATATGTGTGTGACCGTTTAAAATGAACAGAACCAAAAATGAGCCGAAAAGAAACGTATTTTAGTTTAAACATATTCTATTAAAAAAACAATTGCAAAAGGAGTGGTTACAAGTTATTGCAACTTATAATTAAAACTTATAAAAGAAACATATGAAGATTTTTAAAGGGTATTAACTATATATATATTATCACTGTGTGCGACCGAAACAGATGTAAACGGAACAGAACCAAAACTGAACTGATAAGAAACGTATTTAAGGGTAATAAATATACATTTCATCACTCTGTGTGACCGAAACGTAACAAAAAAGAAATATCTGAAGTTATTTAATGCGAAGTTAACACATGTGAATAATGCGTGTGACAGTTAATAACGAACAGAACCAAAAAAAGAATAGAAAAAAAACATATGAAGTTATTTTAAAGGGTATTCAATATGCATTTGATCACTGTGTGTGACCGAAACAGCCAAAAAAATAATTTAAATAATATGGCTGACCGAAACTGAACCCAAACAAAATGTATAATAGCAGTAAGACAGCCATTACATTATGCATTGACAAGACATGTACCCCCCACCCAAATTTTGTTACCTTTTTTCTTTGAATTTCCTGACATTTATGATACGTTACATGCGAGTAAAAATAATGCTTATTTATACATCTTATCATATAATATTGTTTTCTGATACAAGATTTTTTGCGTTTTTCTAGCGTCATTGGTCTTTTTGGGGGAAGTTGTTGGCCCTGAAAAGGGCCTTTTTGTTACATGGGGATTCAGCTGCTGTGGCGACATCAGCGGATCCTGGACGTATACTTTTTCATACCGGTATTCTTGGTTGTCGTTTCTCTTGTGTGAAGGTGTACAAGATCTGGCAGATAGTCGGTTGGATACTTGATATCCGGAAATTTTACGAAAGTCCTTATCGTATTTCTTACGTAGGAGAGCGTTGATTTTGTTTCTCTGTCTGTCGAAAACGGTCTTGTTGAGCCCTGTCCCTTGAAGCTGCCCCTAGGAAGGATTTCTGCAATCAATACTCTTGTAGTTCTGGAGCCGTGCAGAGTTTCGACTAACCAGAGACGTGTATATTACAGAGATTGGGAACTCACGAAGATCTCACAAAAACATGCATGATCATATTGTTCAGGCAGTGGAATAAGAAACGCTGCGAGACTTGGGTTACGGCTGCGCAATCACGCGGAACCTTGTCTATGAGTGTTTGTTTTGACAGCTAAAAGCACATGTCGAAGCAGAATGATATTGATCTGGTCAATGTGTTATCTGTGAGAATTCGATCGTGTATTCTTTAGTTCGTGTCAACATGTCACATATCCTAGATATATGGCTCATATATATAGAAGCTGGTTAGAAATATAATGTAATATCTGAATACTTTTTTGAAATTAAATAATGAACAAGAAAGAACCCTCGCACATCACAGCTGCCATTTTAACTTGTAAATTTTAAAGTGTATTTTCAGAGCTCAATTATCAAACTTTGCAAGTATTATAAAAACCTTATTAGAAAAAGCTGGCTAGAAATATGTTTGAATAAATATCTGAAGATGTTTTTGAAATTAAATAACGAATTAGAAACGAGTTTGTGTTCTTATGTGTCATGAAAAATAACCCTCGCACATCAAAGCCGCCATTTTAACTTGTTTATCCTTCAAAAACCTGTATTTTCAGAGCTAAATCATTGAATTTTGCAAGTATTGTAACAACCTCATTTTAAGAACCTGGTTAGAAATATTATCAAATAATCAATATCTGAAGATATTTTTGAAATTGAATGGTGAATTAAAAAGAAATTCGTGTTCTAATGCAACATGAAAAATAACTCATACAGCAAAGCCGCCATTTTAACTTGTTTATCCTTAAAAAGCCTGTATTTTCAGAGCTAAATCATTGTCATCATGTGATTATTTATTGTAATCATTTATGAAACAAATACAAATAAAATGGGGCTTAAGAAAACAGGGTCCGTGATCCCAAGCCCTGAGTGCATGTAATGTGTTGCTGATGCTTTCGGAATATAGATTTACATATTTTTTTACGAAAATGTCCATTTTATAAATTTCTAATGTAATGTTTATATTTCTAATTCAATCTTAATATTTCTAATCTAATATTTGTTCGTACAATTTGATTTTTAACATACATCTTATATATGTATTGTTTTATTTGCTTGTTTATATATATTAAAACGTTAATTTTATTTAATTTCGTTGTCTTCTTTTCAACAGTGACATGCCTTCAAAGTATTCCATTTAACAGTATGATATAATGATTTGTTCTACAGCTTCATATGTGGCATAATTTCACATTCTCTACTGTAGACAAAATTAAAAAAAAAAGAGGGAAAAGAAGACTCACCCATTTCCAAAAATTCGGTACACAAATAGAACACAATTATGTTGAAAATGTTGATATAATTATCCATTTATAAAACTTAAAACCATTTACACAAAATTTAACATTGTGTCTTTACCGTCACAACTATTTTTTTATGCTGAGATAAGTATGGATGGCTCATTTAAATGGACAACTTTAACAATATTTCTAATATTAGTGTTCAATAAATTGAAAATAAAATCAAAATGAGTCAAGAAATCCAATGGAGAAAAAAAAATAAAAGGGGGAAATTAACGTAACGTATTATTGTATGTATTTGGCATATAATATACACAATATATATCTACACGAGAAATAAATTAAGTAACACAGCTCAAATTTAACAAAAAACAAAACACTTTCGTTTCGGTTCCGATCGGGGTTCGTTTTGTTCACACACAATCTAAACTGTATTGAATTCCCTTTATCTAGTTTATGGTTTCCTTTTCGACTCCGTTTCGGTGATTCGTCGCACCCGCTAAAATTCGTCTCTGGTTTCATTTAAAACTAGGATTGCGTGGTTACTAATATTATAGTGTGGTATTTTTAGCAAAGGTTATTTCCAATGTGCTATTTATAAGTTAACGTTATATTTCGTGATATCTACTTTGTATTTTAACTGTTTTCAGACTGACCGAGGTTATCGTTTTTACTACAGCCTATGAGGTCTCTAAGAAAAATAAGAAATTTTAACTTTAGCTTCCTTGATGGGAGAAAGCATCTTCATCATAAGTTCATGAACTGAAAGTAAAATAACATATGTAGACCAGAGACGTATAATACATACGTCTCTGTGTAGATCTAGCTCTACTACTACTGCAGTAGTATACGTACTACTGAGTGCTGGAAGTCGAAACAAGAAGATGACGAACCAGACTAAAGTATTATTCTAGTATCGTGTAAGTACATACCTGAATCATGAAATAAACATCTGTCAAAATCCAATGTAGACGTGGTCGAAATCCCGATCTTTAGTCTCGTTCAACCAGCCTCTTGTTGTCAGTGCACGTATCCGGCGGCTTCACTGCAGTAACGGCCCTAGTTTAAACGGCCCCATTCTATAAATAGTACAAATGCGTATACGTAATATCACGGAACACTAACAGAACACCGACTTCTGTCAGTGAGATGAAACTCGTATACGTAAGGGCGGATTCATGCAGGCGAAAAACCCTTCAACCCTTCAACCAACCAACCAACCAATACCACGGAAAGTGGAAACACGCCATTGTAGCACCAATTTTTAAGAACGGTAAAACCCCTAGCCTGCCACTATCGTACAGTACGTCTATCACTGTGTTTTCTATTTTGCCTTCAAACTACTTTGTAGTTACAAAATGTAAATGTGTCAGCTTCCAGCTTAGATATAGAACACCACCTGAGATAAATGGGTTAAACACAGGTAAAAATACAGGTAAATGCAGGTAAATACTGCCTATACTACTCGGAAACAGACTTTAATCCAAACAACATTCTTCTAACAACATTCTTCTCCCCATGTTATTTTAAAAAGTGGGGGAACTGAGAAGAAGCCATTTGACGAAGGTCACGTCATTGATGCCGCTAGTACATTAGAAATACATGTGAAAAGACGGGGTTTGTTTAATACATTCTACTTCACTTCAACTCAGATAAGCAACAAAATCGAAAGAAATGGGCTAGTGAGGGGGGTAGGCAGATACATATAGTGTATTATGAAAGGCTGTTCGTGTCAAAAACGAGATTAACTAACGCGTTAGCATTTAACGCATTAAAACATCATTTAACGCGTTAAACAAGAATTTAACGCGTTAAATGCTATCACGTTAAATATACACTTTATCGCGTTAAGCCCTAACGCGTTAGCATTTAACGCGTTAAATACATATTTATTGCGTCAAAAATTACTTTATCGCATTAAATGCTAACACGTTAAACTTGACAACCAATCAAATGCGTCCTTGCATATCAGCGTTGTGAAACCAAAATGCAATTTCATTTTTTTTATCATTTCAATTGAGTTAATGAGCAATGTTTAAGAAGTAGGCAGATGCTATTTGTTCAAAATGCATAAAACTATTTAAATTTTGATTGAGAATACATACCAGCATTTTTTATTGCAAAATAACAATTGCTGTGTCATTGTTATCAAAGTATTCCATTTTGGGTCCTGTTCCATTTTGGATACCCTCACCCTACACCCTTGTGATGAAAGAAGATCACCTACTAATCCAGGGAAACAGTACGATGCGAAAACAAATTTTCGATCATATTTCTAATTATGGAAAACTATATGATCAAATGAATTTTTAGGGAATAAATGAGTAAAATGTGACAGATATTGTCAGAAGTTTGTTTAATGAAGAAAATTATTAAAATGCTGTCAAGTCATTTTCATAAACTGACTTACTAATAGTATATCATGAAGTGTTCTATTTTGGGTACTCGACCAGCAAAAAAATTCGAAGTGAACCTGACGCACTTTAATGAGCTCTATAAATAGACACACATGCTGTTGATACCCAAGAAATACATAAGATGAATTCTTAAGGCATGTATTATTTCATTACAGTAACAAAAACAGTCTTTCAGAAACTTAATATGAAATTTTAATATTTTTAGCTCACCTACCCGACTGAGCAGATTTTGACCAAATTTGGTCAGAAGCATCCTTAGGTGAAGGGGAACAAATCTTGTATAAATAGTGGTCGGGGGGCTGCGGGGCGGGGCCCAATAAGGAAAATATAACAAATTCTTTAAAATCCTTCTTTATTCTGTAGGAATGAAAGGATTTGTTCCATATTTGGTCTGAAGCATCCTTGGGGGAAGAAGAACCAATTTTGTATAAACCGTGGGTCTGGCCCCATAGGGGCCTGAGGGGCGGGGCCCAATAGGGGAAACATAGTAAATTATTTAAAATCCTTCTTCTTTAGGAATGAAAGGATTTGTTCCATGTTTGGTCTGAAGCATCCTTGGGGGAAGGGGAACCAATTTTGTATACACCGTGGGTCTGGCCCCATACGGGCCTGAGGGGCGGGGCCCAATAGAGGAAACATAGCGAATTCTTTAAAATCCTTCTTCTTCTGTAGGAATGAAAGGATTTGTTCCATATTTGGTCTGAAGCAATTTGGCTATATTGATTTAAGAGACTTCTTCTCTGGAACTAAGAGATGGATATCAACCATATGTAACTGGAAGCATCCCTCGGTAGTGGAGATTCAAAATTGTCCCTAGGGTCTGACCGAACCCCTAGGGACCTAGTTTCTGAGTCACAGCTTGGAAACAGTTAAGATCCCCACCCCATAACCATGCATTAAATTGCTGGGCATGAAAAATCTAATACAGACATACAACAAGAGTTGGCATTGGGGTCTGGCATATTCCCATGGATCTCATTTGGAGAATATTTTGCCATGATTGCTTAGATATCCAGGTGAGCGATACAGGCCCTCTGGGCCTCTTGTTCTTTAAAAAGTGGGAAACCTCAACCTAGTTCTCTGAAGGTGAATAAATGGAGCTAAACACAAAGAGTACCCAAGGTGACAGATAGGGTTAACACTATCTACCTCTGCCCATTTTGTGGAGGGTGCATACATGATTGAACAGTTAGAAACCTGGTTTGAGTGGTCCATTCCGGCACCCACCACCTCTTACGTAAACCAGCTGCTAAGAGTTGTCGGAGTTATTATGTGTACCATACAATGTACCTGAATCGCGACAAGAAGACAGTAGTTCCTGCTCCATGGACTTTACAGCCACTACTATGTTCTCAAATTAGTCATCGGTCAGAAACTCTGCCTTCCCTAGTGCCGTATCTCTCCTCAAGTTTTGTAGTCTAAACAATAACATTGATGTGAATAATATGACCTATCAACAAAATATTATATATCACATTACATTTCAGAACTAGTTTAATTTTTGAAGCCATTTAATTCCCAGCTGTCCGCAACTAAATTTAATGGGTCCTAGGTTTCTGAGAAAATTGAAATTTCGTCAATAATCACAGTTACCTACAAATTTCTTATGTATATGTGTGAACAAAAAGTCTACGTTCTTTTGGAGAAAATGAGCATGTTCAGTCGCCTGATGTGTCTGTGACTCTGAACTTTAACCAAGTGACCTTACAACTTTGCTAAAATACAAAAGGTGTACCGTTTATGAGAAATTGGGCATTTTTTGTCTTCTGAAGTGTCAGTGACATTTAACCCCTATGACCTCGAAACTTTGCCAAAACATTTTTCGTATTACTTCCTGCAACTAGTTTATGTTTATACAGAAAGTGTACCATTTTTAGCTCACCTGCCCAAAGGGCAAGTGAGCTTATTCCATGGCGTTGCGTCCGGCGTCCGGNTGTATAGTCATGTATGTATGGTCGTTGATGTATAACTGTATGTAGGTATGTGTTTATGTAAGTTCCCTAAATACGCATGTCATGGTGTATGTACGTTAAAACTATACAAACCAGTATTCAGGTGGGTTTTCTTTTTTTTCTTTTTTTCTTCAAACTTTTNGAGGGTCTGGCCCCACTGGGGGCTGAGAGGCGTGGCCCAATAGGGGAAATATAGCAAATTCTTTAAAACCTTCTTCTTCTGTAGGAATGAAAGGATTTGTTCAATATTTGGTCTGAAGCATCCTTTGGGGAAGGGGAACCAATTTTGTATAAACCATGCATCTGGTCCCCAGGGACCTGAGGGAGGGGCCAAAAGGGGGCAATTGGGCTATATTGATTTAAGCGACTTCTTCTCTGGAACTAACAAATGGATATCAACCATATTTGACTGGAAGCATCCCTCTGTAGTGGAGATTCAAAATTGTACAAACGGTTGGGCAGACCCCCCAGGGGGCTAAGGGGTGGTACCCAAAGTGGGCAATATGGCTATATTGCTATACACGACTTCTTCTGTAGAATTATGTCATGGATATCGATCATATTTGGTCAGAAGCATTCATTGGAGGCAGGGATTCAAAATTGTACAAATGTTGGGGCTGGCCCCCCTTTGCTAAGGGGTGGGGCCAAAAAAAGTTTATTACTTGGAAATGGTTGAAATCCCCACAGTATAACCATATATACAATTGTGGAGTATAAAGAGAAGCATGCACATTTGCTTCCAGGATGGCCTAGAGTCTGGCCCCACCCTTTGAGATATAGTCCCTGGGTCATAACTTTGAAACGGTTGAGATCCCCACCCCACAACTATATATACACAAATGCTTGGCATAAAGAGACAAAAGTAGTCACGGTATTAGAATAGACCCTGGGGTCTGACCGAACCCCTAGGGACATAGTTTCTTAGTCACAGCTTGGAAACAGTTGAGATCCCCACCCTATAACCATGCATTAAATTGCTGGGCTTGAAAAATCTAATACAGGCATACTACAAGAGGTGGCATTTGGGGTCTTGCCTATTCCCTTGGATCTCCTTTGGAGAATATTTTGCCATGATTGCTTAAATATCCAGGTGAGCGATACAGGCCCTCTGGGCCTCTTGTTAGTCTCCCAAAGTGTCGGTGTATGTGTATTAAAAGTGTACTGTTTTTTAAGAACTTCGAATTTCAATCTCCCCGATGTCCACGACCTTGACCTTTGACCCTGTGACATAGAAACTTTGCGGAAATATTCCTTGCATTACTTTCTATAGCTTTCTAATATATTTATTTATTCAAAATGTGTACTGTTTTTATGGAAATTCGCAAATTCAGATTCTTGCCATGTTTCATTTGTATCTAGTGACCGTGCGCTTCAACCTCTTGACGTTGAACAATATATGTACCAGTTACAGTGTCTTCAATTTGGGCACCGATTTGGACGCTGCAGTATGGTATAAGCTCACCATGGTCCTTCAGGTGAGCTAAAAAACAATTATTTAAATGTTAATCATTGTTACACACACACATTTGGATCTGTTCGTATCAGTACGACTAAACACTTACATTACTTGCAAATTAGTGAAATGTTAGATGGCGAAACTGCCTGCATCATTGAGCAAAAACATGAAGGCCTGATGACGTCACAATTGTTGCTGCATGACGTCATTCAGGCGTGTTTACAACAATGTTTATTTATAGGTATTTCAGTCAAATGTTCTTC